AAATGGAAAGAAAAAAACAAAGCAAGCTGGTAACATTTGACGGAGGCGCGGCCGGCGCGAGGCTCTCGGGTCACGGTCTCGGTGATTAGTCAGTGTTTGGCAAACACGTTGATGGCCAGGTTTTCGCTGTTGTAGACCGACCCGTTGACCGTCAATTCGACACCCTTGGCGTCCAGCTGGCCGATGTTGTCAAGCTGCGTTGCGGTAAACCCGCCCGTCACCGGGAACTGGCGAGCCACGAGAGCGTCCGAGGTCACCCGGTGCCAGTAGGTGAAGTCGACGCCGACACGGTCGTTCCACAGGCCGATCTCGGCGCCGCCCTCGATTTCGGTCGAGATCTCGGGCCTGAGCGCCTGGTTGCCCAGGTTGCCCGGTCGCAGGCCCGGACCCACTTCCGCCGGCGAGGGAACGAACGTCGTGAACTTGTCGAAGGCACCGGGCTGAAGGCCGGATCGACCCCAGGCACCGCGGATACGGAAGGTCGAGAGAGTCTCGCTGTTCCAGTCGAACAGGTCCGTCGGAATGATCGAGAGCGCCACCTTTGGATACGTCGCCGTCTCGAACTCCGAACCGAAGGCGCTGTTGGCGTCGAAGCGGGCCCCCACGGTGAGGTACGCCCAGTCCTGGTAGCCGAGCTGCTCCTGGAAGTAGACGCCCGCGTTGACCTCTTTCTCCCAGGACTCGTACGCTGACTGGCTGGCACCGGCGCCGGCCACCTCAAACCCGGACCCGGGAACGCCGAGCCCGTCACCTCAACGTAGACATTCTGGGTGATGAACCCCTGTCCGCCCGCGAGGAAGGTGCTGCTGATGTCGTCGGTGAAGTTGTTGTCGTAGGAAAGCTTGAAGTCGCCCGTGACTTCCCGGTTGTTCCGGTCGCCGGAAGCCGCGGGTCCCTTCCGTATTGTAGGTGGTTAAGCCGTCCACGTCCCACCCGAAGGGGAAGAAGGAAATCTTCCGGGTGTTCGTCATGTCCACCCCGAAGGTGCCGTCAAAGACGAGCCCTCGGCGATGGTCCAGTTCGCGTTGACCGAGCCCTGGAAGTGCTCCACTTCCTCCTTGATGTCGCGTTCGGCCGTCTCCCGCAGGGTCGCAAAGGCGAGACTGCCGTAGCGGTTGTTGTCGTCCGCGAGCCGAAGCTGGCCCATGAGCCCCAGGGAGAAGACCCCGAAGATGTTGTTCCCGCCCGCCAGCGAACTCTGGTTCAACTCCGAGTACAGGCCGGTTACCCGCAGGCGCAGGTTGTCGAAGGGGAAGATGTTCAGGTTCATGGTCCCCTGGCGGCGAACGATCGTGTCCTCGTTCTCGAGGGCGCCTCCATCGGCGAAGATTCCGTCGAGTTTGCTGAAGGGGCCGTTCTCGTTGTAGTACCTGCCCGAGGCGAAGTAGGTGATCAGGTCGGCGCCTCCGGACACCGAGGCCGAGTAGGTCTGGCCGTAACCGGTGTTGTAGAGTTCGCTCATGTAGTCTACTTCATAGACCTCGTACGGCTGGAGGCTCACGCCCCAGCGGTGCTGCATCCGGGCCACCTGCTCCGCGTCCCTGGGGAAGTCGGCATGAGGGACGAAGCGGTCGAAGGGCGCGCTGACGGCCGTCTGGTCGGTCTGGACCGTCCACCGCGGCGCGCCCTGCTGCCCTCGCTTGGTGAAGATCTGGATCACGCCGTTGGAGGCTTCCGTGCCGTACAGCGTCGCCGCGGCCGCGCCCTTCAGGATCTCGATGCGCTCGATCGAATTGGGGTCGATGTCGTCGAACCGGCGCGTGGCTGCCTGAGCCGCGCCCCAACCACCCATTGAGCCGGTGTCGATGCGCACGCCGTCCAGGTAGATGATGGGCTCGTTGGACTGGGAGAGTGACGCAGAACCGCGGATCCGGATGCGGCCGCTGGCTCCCGTCTCTCCGCCGCCGGGAAGGCCGACGACGCCGGCCTCGCGGCCCTGGAGGATGTCGCTGAAGCTCGTGATGGGCGTATCCCTAAGCTTCGACACGTCCACCGTTGCGATCGTGTTGCCGAGCTTCTTCTTCTCCGTGGCGACTCCGGTCCCGGTCACCACGATCTGGTCCAGCTGGATCGCCGTCACGGTAAGACCGAAGTCCACCGTAACCGCCTGGCCGGCGGCGACGGTCACGGTCTGCGACCCCCGCCCGGTAACCGACCAGCTCCGCGATCACGGTGTGCTCGCCGACCGGAGCGGTGACGAAGAGGTAGCGGCCGCTGCTGTTGGTCAGCGTCCCGAGGGCCGTGCCCTCGATGTAGACCTGGGCCGACGCCAGCGGTCTGCCCGATCCGGCTTCGGTCACGAGCCCCGAGACGGTCCCGGTCTGGGCCTGCGCCACCGATGCGAAGGCCAAGCCGGCCAACATGGCCAGCCAAAGCCCCCCCGCCCCATTCCTGAGGCTTCTTCCTAACGAGTTACGTGTCATGAGTTGTCCTCCCTTTGTGAGTCCTGGACATGCGACACACCCTGTCATCTATGTATTCCGGGTCTTTCCCGGCCAGGGCCAGAGCCCAATGCTGGGGTCCGCTACCACACAAGAGCAACCCCCGCCCGCGCACGCTGAAACCCGGGAGCCGCTCAACCCGTACGGATCCCGCCCGTGGGCGCGAACGTGCATCATAGTTGCCCCCCGGAGCGCGGCTGTCAAGAACGCGCAGGGATGGCCCGCGGACAGTTGATCTCAGCGGATGACCCAGCCAACCCTTCAGGCCACCCTCGCCACCGCCTCGATCTCCACGTCGACGCCCTTGGGCAGTCCACCCGCGGCCACCGTCGCACGAGCGGGTCGATGATCGCCGAAATGACGGGCGTAGACTTGGTTCATGTCGGCGAAGAGGGACATGTCGGAGAGGAAGACAGTCGTCTTTACGACCGTCTGCAGGCTCCCGCCCGCGGCCGCGAGGACCGCGGCCAGATTGCGCAGCACGCGGTCGGCCTGCTTGTCCACGCCCCCCTCGATCAGGCTTCCGGTGGCGGGGTCGATGGCGATCTGGCCCGACGCGAAGATCCATCCGTCGGACACGATGGCCTGCGAGTACGGGCCAAGGGCTCCGGGAGCGTCGTCGGTATGGACGGTGGTGAGCTTTGACATCCGGGTGGGTATCTCCTGGGTTGTTGTGGGTTCCATGTCTTTCTTGGGCCGCATGGCCGCATGATTGTCGCGTCCGCGGGGGCGAGCGGTCAAGCGGGCCCGGGCACGTCGGAGCACGCGTCAGAGCACCGCGTTCCAGGGCACGGCCAGCACCCGGTCCGTGAGCCAGTAGGTCTCCCGGCCCCCGTAGACCAGAACGCCCGCCGGGACCCGGGTTCCGTAGTCGTCCATGAATGTCTTCAGGTGCCGGGCATCCGACACGCGGACTACTCCCCGGCTCTTTACCTCCACCGGCAGGAGCAGGTCGGACGCTTCGATCACCAAATCCACTTCGGCCCCCTTGCTCGTCCGCCAGAACAGGATTTCGGGCCGGGGCACCCGAGTCTCACGCCAGGCGAGGAGGTCGTTGACCAGCAGATTCTCCAGATGGGCTCCCCCAGGCTCCGGACTCCGGGCCACGTGGAGGGCCAGCCCGGTGTCGCTCCAGTACAACCTGGGACTCTTGACGAGCCGCTTTGTGCGGTTCACGGCGTATGACTCCAACCTGACGACCTGATAGGAGGTCTCCAGGAGATGGATATACCGGAGTGCCGTGGTCGGTGGCAGTCCGGCGTCACGTGCCAGGTCGGCCTGGTTCAGGAGGCCTCCCATGCGCAGCGCCGTCGCACGAAGGAGGCGCTGGAAGCCCACAAGGTTGTCGATAGCCGCAAGCTGCTGGAGATCGCGTTCCAGGTACGTTCGCAGATAGCCCTCTCGACCAGCCCGCATGCACGGGTCGCTCCGTGAAGGTAGAGAGCACACGCCGTGACACAGATATTCCGCCTCGCAGCGGCAGAGGAGGGTCGGTACATTGGGTGGTGTCTAGCATGGTCTCCATTAATGGCTATTGTGGAGGAAATCATGGTGACTGTGCGTTTGACTCTCAAGACCTGGATTGCGCCCCCGGGTATTAGTTATCTCAACCTATCTTTCGTGTTTATGAGCTTTCTCCATTTTAACTGAATTGGGGCTTATATGTCGCAAAATGGTGTGTGTGGTGCTTATAGCAGCGTTTACGATGGTGAACTCATTGGATTCCCGCTCCTCTTAACGAAGTCCATTTTTGTATGGTGTTGGTAATTGTTTACTATTGGCAAAAAAGCATTGGTGGCTTCCTGACTGTGGGGGGTTGGTGAGGGCTTAGAGGGATGTAATGCGAAAGATTATTATTCGGAAAAGGAGGAGTGAAAACAATATGGGGGTCTATTGTCAATGGCTCGGTGCGGTTCTTAGTGTAATGTCAATTTTCGTGTCCTTAGGTCCCCATTATTGGCCTATGTGAATGTAATATATCGGATGAATTGCGTGTATAGGTCCAGATATCTCGAGGATGTGATTTTATCGGTGGGCGGGCTCGGTCAATGGGATAAGAGGAATCAACGTTCTGCCCTTAATATTTTGGTATTGTTTTTTACGAGGACTTTACAGGTCGAGGTATGTTGTATGTGGCCTTTTGGTGACTATGTGGCGCGTTCGGGTATGTGTGGTGCCTTAGCTAAAACTGGTGGGTATCTTCGCGCTTGGATTACTGTAGAGAGGGCGGGGCCGTATTTGTCGAAGTGGTACGAGCTGATCAACGGAGTTTGTGGGTCACTCCTGGGCGCGATGTTGCATTCTAGTAATTTACAGACACCATCTGTGCTACAGCTGGCTGTCCAATGCTTGTGTTAATTTGAGTATATGGTCTGGTCGACGAGCATGACGTCGGGCGGCGCCGGTGGTCCAGGGTACAAGGCGTGGATGAGAAGTGGTAGAAGGATTGGTCCTAAGTGTTATATGAGTGTGTGAAAGCCGTGGGGCGGGGGTCTGGATTTGCTAGATCTGCTGAGACAGACCCCTGCCCAATCTAGTCAGTGAAGTCATGAGCAAGCTCATTGAAGTTCTCAAGGTTCGTACAAATCTTCTCATTCTCTTTTTGTCTTGTGTACATGACTGACTGTCAACCTTGCAGTAGTGTGTACGTGCTTCTAATTAAGCAGCATTCTAAAATACTGCCGAAATATTGAACTGCTTGCGCTCGCTTACCAATAATGCGCGGCAGTATTATCATCCTTTGTCGTTTCATTGTTCCCTGTTGCATGCATGCCACCACCAGTTCTTCAATGGTAGGACGTGTATGCTGGTGCTGGGAGCTGGAGCAGTGGAGACAGTGGGACTCAAGACTATCACTGCCAGACATCTCGGTATACACCACTTCACACCACAATCACGTGCATGGTATATGACCGTACGCGCTTTCGGTTGGGCGACAATAGCAATATCGAGGATGCAATTTGTGGTATATGACTAAGACTTATGTGTAAAAGACGCATTTGCACGTTGCCACGTTAGTAATGGTTCCTGCCCAAAAAAATTTCACGTATGGCTCATAATTCATAGTACATTTTACTCCACTACTGTTGTATTGTGGACCACAGCTCTAGTCCTGCGATGTCTGCAGCAGTGCAGCTGCTGGTGGCGGACATCAGGAGACACTTTCAGTGCAGACTGCCTCACAAGCAGCACATCTTACTCTCCCACTTCGACCACGTCACTGAGGTGTGTGTGTGTGCATGTACATTATGCCCCTGTCGACCCATCTCTCTCCTTCTTATATATTAAAACCCTTTGGACGCCATGGGGATCTGCTTAAATAAGTAGAAATTGATGTATAAAGTATTAGCGCCTAGTATTATAACCCCATATAAATTCTATGGACATGGAGCTCTGGACACATTTAAGGTTCGGTGGCTAACATTTGGTGATTTTGCATGAAATGGGGTGTTTGGTAAGACAGTCCATGTATATACCTGCAACCACTGAATCAGTACCAAATCTTCTGGTGTTCCTTCTTGTTCCCAGGACTACAGTCGCCACTGTGTGGAGATAAACAACAAGATATATCACCATAATGGATGACCTCATTTCAAGAAATTTATTCAAAGTCAGTTAGACACACAGATATGTGCTGTGCATACTTAACCACGGCTAGCATTTGTATGCTGTTAATACCTGATTCCAAAGAAAACCAACGTATTCTCTGCTGCAGTGGGAAGCTAAATCTCCAGTACCCTCTCTATCATTCAAGACACTCATCAAGCAGGTTCTGAAGTTACACGAGAACCTTGTGGACATCCTACCACACAATCAGCTACAGGTATATATATACATGAGCAAAACTTCTCACTTTGCTCCTGTTCAAACAGGACTTCTCATTCTGCTTCCTTGTTGTGATCTCTCTTTCTCTCTCTCTCTCTCTCTCTCTCTCTCTCTCTCTCTCTCTCTCTCTCTCTCTCTCTCTCTCTCTCTCTCTCTCTCTCTCCAACTCTATCTCTCTCTCTCTCCAACTCTATCTCCAGTCTCTCTTTACCTCCATCGAGGAAATGTTCAAAAATCACTTGAAGACTCAGTTACAGCGTCTCGGGATCACTAACAATGGCAGCACACAACACGGGTGAATCCTATTGCCTTACATAACCTTCTCTGCTGTGTCTAACTTGGTTTTTCCTTCTCTGTAGGACTGTAATTTCTGAACTAACTTATTTCATGGGTGCTCTTGGCTCACTAGAAAACATCAATGCATTTCGCAGCAGTCTGTTTGATGTGTGGACAGTCAACAGATGATAAAATTCACTCTCAATTTTACACTGCGCATGCGCAGGATATAATTGGAAGAGCGGATGGGTGTGGTTTTTGCGCTCGAAGTCGACGTCTCTGAGCGCTGCTTCTTAGGTTTTGGCCAAGGTGTATAGCGATTGGGGAACTGCTACTGTTCTGCGTATGGTGTTTAGTCTCTACCATCTATGATGGGAGATCGTAGCGCGGGATATGATTGTAAGACGTGTATACATGTGTTGCCATCCAAAGGGAACCTTACCTCGTTGCACACCAGGTTCAGTCATACCCGCACTAGACTGCCCCGGACGCTACTGTGGACGAATTTCCATTGCCAGCAACGCTTCCTCGCCCGACGGTTGCTATGCCAGCACTTGTGGGGTCAGTTGAAACTTACCTCCAGTAAAGAAGCTCCCGTTTATGTGTATACACCCTCTGTCCTTTTTCCAGGCCTGTCCAACAGGGTACCGAGTGACTGGCAATGGAAGCAGCGAGTGTCTGCCGTGCAGCGACCCTGCCATCCTCAGGGACTACTTCTTCCTGGGGTTTGTGTGTCTGGTTTGTGTCGGAGTCAGGCTGGCTGTGGTAGCTGTCTCTACCATAGGGAAACCTGGATGGGCCCCCAAAACGTATGTGATAGACATGTTGATATTGACTCTTACAACTTTTAAGCATACGTGTTCTGTAGAATTACCTCACAGCAAACTATTAGGGTGAATTTCTTTCCGTTATTCTGAGATGTCCTAATGATGTTTTAGCATTATGTACATGGGCCATGTTAAAGATTGTGTTTGGGAATGCCCGTTAACTGAATGACGTTCAAATGAAGATTAATGATTGAGAGATAATAATTGGATTTTACCAAAGGGTAATGCTTTAGTACATTGTGGTGTGTGGTATCTTGCTCCAGTGCTCTTGCATGCATGACCTGTTTGTATGTTCTGACAACTTGTATGGACATTGCAGGGTGTTGGGGATAATAACTGTACTGGAAAATGCTCTGGCAATGCTGTTTACCCTACTGATCTTGGAGCCCCAAGGTTGGTTAAAAAAAACAATAAGTAAACCATGCTTGAGTTGGTAACATGGTGGTATATAGATACAACAGTGTTGTTGGTTTTGTAAAAGGTGTTGTCTTTGGTGTCGTTGAATTGGACTTACTTGCCTTGTGTTTACGGCCATGAATATTGCTAAGAGAGGAAAAAAACTATGGTCAAGTTGTAGGATGGTTTCCTGCAGGTTCGCTGGCCTTCAACTCCTGTCGTGTGGTCCAGGTCTCGGATTTCTATCCCATATTCTACAACCCCAGCGAAGACTATGTCCACCAACTCCACTGCACCTACGAAGTCGTCTACCCTCTGTGAGTGACACTCCTCAGCTCTGACGGCTTCTAAGGATTGTTGTTTTACTGACCCTAACTCGTTTAACTTCTCCCTACAAACATCATGCTTTCAATTGACACTCTACACACACTTCACAACGCCGCCACATTATGGGAGCAATTGCAGGGGTTTAACTAAAGCAGAGAAGTAGGGGGTATAACAACCCTCTCCTTTATAGACGTATATTATGCAGAAGTGAATGTGTGGCAAGTAGTCGGTCGACCCCCTCACTCTTCCTTTCAATTGCTCCCAGGCTAAACGCAACACTTTATAAATTGATGCACTCACAAATGTTCATCTATCCCATATTTACGCTGTTATATATATATATACAGGTACAGAATGATATTCGTGTACTTTGGGTTCTACCTGGTCCACCACGTTCTCCTACTGTCAGTGACGGTTCCCTTCATGTGGGGATGCAGGCAGACCTTCTCTCTGTCCACAGAGTTTGTGTGGCTGGTTGCTCTGCCCGTGGTCATAGCTGTATTTGCAGTACTGGCAGGTCTACTATGTAAGTCTCATCTCTATCTGTAAGGGATGGACATCTTAGAATATTTCTCGGCTTACAAATTTTGCCACATACGTACATTAACAGGATTTCATTTGGAAGCTATGTACCACTCTTTTTACCTTACGTGTGCTAAAGGCACACACATTAGGTATATATATACACATGTTTCATTAACCGATAGTGTGCTGTAAGGGCTTGTGACTTGTGTATAATTATATACAATTGCTTTTGTTGCAGATTACATATTTGACTATCTAACCATTCTGGTTGCTGTTGGTGGATTTTCCCTAGTCTCTACCTTTCACCAGGCTCTGAAGTACACTTTCAAGGTAATCGTGTGTGTGTAATAAGCATTCCCAAGGGTTCGTAATGAGGAAAGTGTGGCAGGCACCTTTTAAAAGATTTAAGACCTGTTAGTGTAACGCACACTTTAGAGTTGATGACATTGTGAAAGTAGTTTTCCCCTACATTACCGCACTCTTCAAACATTAGTTTTTCCCCCTACCTTTCCCAGAATCCGTTTGAAGTCTTTTCCTCGTTTGAGTACTGGATGTTCACGCTGGTCTGCATGGCGTACGCGGCATTTGGGATCCTCTCTCTCACCGGCGCAGGAACGATATCTTTCAGAGCAGCACTTCTCCCAACAGTTCTTGCCCTTTTCCTCCATCCAATCGTCACTTTGTTTGCATCTCCTCAGCCTTACCTGTCGTCGTGGGGGATCCCCTCTTATCACGAGTTCTATCAACACTGAACTGTTCACTATAGCGTATAAGTTATGATTCAAATATTATGTGTTTGTTCACCGGGTTGGATTTTGTGTAATACATGTGTGCAACATGCGAAATTGATGAAGACTCGTAGCACACAGGTCGTGACGATATCTAAGCAAGACTCAAGACTCAGCCATAAGGTTCTTTAGGCCTGTGGATTAAAGTGTAGCACTGAACCTGTTGGTGTTGCTATCTGGCCGGCTTGTTGCACAATCATGGTGCCAGAAAAGGTGGTAACAGACAAGACAGGGACACGCCTATACAAAGTGCTATAATCCTCACTGCACCATGTGAGCAAAGAAAACTACCAATGTAGATCTCTAAATGTTTGAGGAAGGTACATAATATAGCTGGTAAAATCACTTGATCACTGACACAGGTGTGACAGCATTGTTTTGTTGCCGAACCAAGTAGTTGATTGTCCACAAGCTTGTGTACAACGCGGCATCGTTTTTGGCTCATGTTTTCGTAGTTGGGATCCGCTTTGGTTGGTTGGTACAGGACAGTGTACAAAACTTATAAAAAACCCCTTGCAATAACACCTATGCCAGAAATTCTGGACTTGAAAGTGAAGGCTGAGTCACAGCAAGTGTATGCAACTGGGACCCTCTGAGAGGACAGGCTAAATGATGCTTCATCTTGGTCTCTTGCTCTTCGTAGTCTTGATCCAGACTGGGCTAGCAGAAGAAGTTTATGTTGACAGTGGTGCCTCCCCTGATTGTGACCATTCATGTGGCAACAGGTCATCTCCCTGTCCTACTCTGGAGGCAGCTCTCAACCACACTGCACTCCAGTCTGTTAGTGTTCAAGTACTGAGTAGGACTCTGACTCTCAGCCATCAAATTGTTCTGGAGAACTCCACAGCCTTCCACCTCAGGGGCAGTGACAGTGGAGGCACTTTGATAGCCTGCTCAGGTTCATCGGGGACCCAGCCAGGATTGGTGTTGGTAGGACAGGACAATGTGACCATTTCAAGTGTCAACTTCACTTCCTGTGGAACTACCAAGACCTATGAAATCGAGCATGATACCAAGTATGAATACATGGCAGCAATCCATTTACACTGGAGTCGAAACGTCACCATTTACAATGTCAGTGTCACCGGTAACAACGGAGCTGGACTGGCAATTATCGACCCTCAAGGTGGGGCCATATCAATATCATACTCTCAGTTCAGTCGAAATCGCGTTCCACCAGAATTTACTTCAAAGTATTACGGTGGAGCTGGTGTGTATGTGAGAGACAGACGAGCGGGAGAGGAAGAGGACCAAGTCCAGCTTCAGCTGTCCCAATGTACCTTTGAACACAATCAGGCTACTTTTCCGTTTACTTTCTCCATCTTCAACATTTTCAATCGACCGCATCTTGGAACTGGTAGGGGCGGGGGACTAGACGTTATTCTTTGGTACAATGCCAGTTGGAACGATATCAGCATTACCGACTGCCGGTTTCACAACAATACCGCCTACTTGGGCGGAGGCCTGGCAATTCAGTTGTACGACAACAGTCATCACAACAAATTAAGCGTCGTGCGATGCGTATTTGAACGAAATGAGTGCGATGAAGAGGCACCTACTGGTAGTGGCGGCGGAGCACACTTTGGCTACAGCTATCTCGAACGCGATGGTTTAGAACCTCATCGTAACAGTTTCCTAGTAAAAGACAGTCTATTCCAAGAAAACTGTGCTGAATTAGGTGGAGGAATGACGTTCTTTACAAGTAGGAGCAATCGCATAGAAACGGCAATCTCTAACATATTTTTGCTGGACAACTGCACTTGGGTAAGGAATACCGCACACGTTGGAGCAGCAGTGGACATGTCTCCACATGTATTTGACAGAGCAAAGGAAGGTTTTCTCCCGACATTAGTTTTCAAAGACCCTGTGTTCATCGGCAACAAAGTCGCTTTCCATCAGCTGGAGTTCTATCAGACGTTTGGGTCTGGTGTTTTCTTTTCGAGTCTTTTCAATGTCGATTTTGTGGGATTTGCTAGCTTCAGGAGTAACGCAGGCTCGGCATTTGTTGTTGTCAATGCCATAGCCAATTTCTCAGAGTGCAGTGCAGAGTTTGTGGGGAATACTGGTGTACAAGGTGGAGCAATCTCTCTCACCGGGATCTCTTCCCTGATCGTCGGTCCGGGAAAAACGTACAACTTTACCGACAATCACGCCACTGATCGTGGTGGTGCCATCTACAACTACCTGATTGATGATCACGACTTCACCGCATCGCGAAGTTGCTTCCTTTACTATTCCCAGACCGAAGTTCCTGCTTCCGAGTGGAATGCCACTTTCTACTTTATTGGAAACACGGCTGGAGCATATGGCCACAGTATATTCTCTTCCTCCATTCTCTCCTGTGTGAAGCTGGTTCCCTCAGAGCCATATCCGTACGTTGATGGAGAATGGAATACCAGTACAGTATTTAGGTGGCCTCGTGTGTTCAATTTTGATGAGAGAACTCAGAATCAGATTGCAACCGAAGGAGGCTATTTTATGACTACAGAGTCCCTCCCCTTTTACGTCATCCCCGGAGAAGAACACAAACTAGGGATTTCAACGACTGATGATAATGGACAGGAGGTCGAAGTGATATTCCGTGCATCCGTGATCGATGCTAGTAGCAGTGCTGTCGATGTGGACAATGCTTTCTCGTGTGTTTCGGGCAACACCATTAAAATGATGGGAGACACAGAGAGTTCGGGAGTTTTACTGCTGGAGACAATCTCTTCTCGAAAGAACTCCATTGCAATGAACGTAACACTTCTGCCTTGTCCGCCCGGTTTCGTGCTGACGGAAAATGAGTGCACATGTAATGTCGAAACTTACTCTGCTATTGTGGGCTGCGACCTAAAGAACTTTCACTCTAGTATCAAAATGGGGTACTGGACTGGGTACTTGGACGACAAAATCTTTGTTACTGGGATTTGTCCTCTCCACTTCTGTAATTACAACAACGCAAACTATGAGCGCGAGATTCCGCTTCCAAGGAACACTTCCCCTAGTCATTTGGACGAGTACATCTGTGGACCCACGAGGACGGGGATCCTCTGTGGTAGCTGCAAACCTGGCTACAGTGTCTTCTACCATTCTCCGGGTTATAGTTGCCACAAATCACGATACTGTGACTTGGGGTGGCTCTTTTACGTTCTCTCGGAGCTTGTTCCAGTAACTCTGCTGTTTGTAACCGTTCTTGTCCTCAACATCAGTTTCACATCTGGCAACATCAATGGCTTTATTCTGTTCAGCCAGCTGCTAGACTCCGTGATAGTCAATGGAAGTAAATATCCTGCAGTTCTCTCTACACTCAGCTGGGGTTACCAACTCATCTACGGTGTGTTTACGATGGAGTTCTTCAGCATAGAGCCTCTGTCCTTTTGCCTGTGGGAGGGAGCTACAGTACTCGATATCCTAGCATTTCGCTACGTTACAATCGTCTATGCGTTTCTTCTTGTGTTAGTGACTCTGCTTATCATCAAGTATGGCGGGCATGCGTTTGCTGGAAAGAATCTCCGCATCACAACTATCAAATCTTCTATTGTGCATGGCCTGTCTGCCTTCATCATACTGTGCTATGCTCAATTCACCAAGGTCTCTATTTACATCCTCATTTCTGGATATGTGAAAGGAGAAAATGGAGACATCACAAGCGGTCAAGTGTTTTTCAGTGGTGACACAGGTTTTTACAGTACCGAACATCTACCTTATGCTTTTCCTGCTATTGTATGCCTAATGACACTGACCACGTTTCCACCAGCCCTTCTCCTACTCTATCCTTCAGCCAATAAGCTCCTGGCCTTCTGCAAGGTCTCAGACAAAAAAGCCGTTGTCAGAGTGTCAAGGATGATCCCCATCAGCAAGATCAAGCCTTTCCTGGACTCATTTCAGGGTTGCTTCAAAGACAACCTGCGCTTCTTTGCCGGAATTTACTTTGTGTATCGCTGGATTGCTCTGATGATGTTTGCTCTTGTGCCCACCATCACCGGCTTCTACATCAGTCTGGGGAGTATCTACATTCTTGTTCTGATGCTCCACACAATATTCCAACCATACACAAACAGAATCCACAACATTGTCGATGGCTGCCTCTTTGCAAACCTGGCCCTCATCTACAGCATTGCTGCCTACAACTACCTCTTCAGTCAGGGTCTCGTCGAATCATTCTCGACCCAAACCAAATATGTCAACACCATGGCATCGATTCAACTGATTCTGATCTACCTACCCATTGTAGGGATGGCTGGGTATCTCTGCTCCCTTGTTTACCAGAGAAGGTGTCTCCCAAAGAGAAAAGAAAGGAGACCTGTTTGTGATGTCACCCTGAGCCCGACGAGAGTAACGTCCAGTGACATTGATGAGCTGCTGGAAGAGTTCCCTGCAAGATTGCTCGAGTCAGAGTATGATAATTACTTTGAACAAGAAACATTTACGCAGGCTGAGTGCGAGGGTGTTTAACTAAACCATTTTCATGTTTTGAAACAGTAATAGTGATCTGTATTGCCTATAATTCCCAATTGTATATACATTTCTCTGTGATTATATCACTCTTTGTCAGACAGATTGTAGGCATAAGAATGGATGAGTGCACCAAACGTCTACAACTCAATAGCCACGCTTACTTGGCAATAGGAGTATACATGGCCCTTGAGACGGGTGTCTGTGTGTCAGCTAGAGGCATACAATATACATTGTCAGTCATGCCTGACTGAATATTATGGTTTCTCTAAGAGACTTGACTCTATCTATTGTCAGACAGGCATGAGAATGGGTGAGTGCACCAAACGTCTACAGCTCAATAGCCACGCTTACTTGGCAATAGGAGTATACATGGCCCGTGAGACGGGTGTCTGTGTGTCAGCTAGAGGCATACAATAATTATACATTGTCAGTCATGCCTGACTGAATATTATTATGGTTTCTCTAAGAGACTTGACTCTATCTGTTGTCAGACAGGCATGAGAATGGGTGCATAGACCTACAGCATTATCTGATCACATAGCTGAAACTGTGCTACGATGCTAGTGGTATACATCATACAGTGCCAGTCAGGGCTGCAAGTGTTTCTATAAGAACTCAGTGCTGACATACTATTTGCAGCCTTTGCTTAGACTGGTGGAGTAACACACACAGACTCTGCTCTGACACAACAGTGTTTCAGCTCTCATACTCTGAAGAACAAGAGCTACCTGGACAACCAGAACAGCTTTCACAAGTAAGTATATATATCTCATGGTTCATGGGAAATTGTGTAAAGAGGATTTGCAACAATTCGCAGCATAGCACACAATGGTTGCACATAAACTATAGCTAGAGGAAAGAAACTGACTTTGAAGGTACTCGTGACGCTATCCTATGTCTGTATAATCACAAGTATGTTCCTATTACTATTGGTTAGACTGGTGGCTGGAGGAGTATCACACGCAGACTCGTCTCTCCAACAGCAGTATTTCACGCTGCTACCATTTGGCAATATCTATCTTCATGTCAGCTACAAGAGCTACATGGACAACTTGAGTGGAGAAAGAATTGCCCCCTAAGCCTTTCACAGGTGAGAATTGCATGGTATGAATAAAGGGGATTTGCTACAACTCACAGTATAATTATTTAATGTACAATGGATAAGAGAAAAAATATAGCTATAGTAAATAAACTGTCTGTGGAAGTACGTACTTCCGCACTCGTAATGCTATCCTATGTATGTACGCATGTTACAAGTATGTTTCGACAAGCTGATTGGTACTTTGTGACGAGACAGACGGAGACTCATCAGTTACGTACTGGTCATAATCTGCCTCGAGCATTCTCGGGGGAAATTCTTCCAGTCCACAAATCAGATCGTTAATGTCAATCGATGGTACAGCCAGCTTTGGAGCGGGGGCGACACTATTGGAAGAAGTGGCAGGTGTTTGCTTGGGAGTGTGTTTGCATTTGTAGAGTAGGAAGCTGAGATACGCAGCCATCCCTACAATGGGTAGGTAGATCAGAATCAGTTGAATCGATGCCATGGTGTTAACATATTTGGTTTGGGTCGAGAATGATTCAACGAGACCCTGACTGAAGAGGTAGTTGTAGGCAGCAATGCTGTAGATGAGGGCCAGGTTTGCAAAGAGGCAGCCATCGACAATGTTGTGGATTCTGTTTGTGTATGGTTGGAATATTGTGTGGAGCATCAGAACAAGAATGTAGATACTCCCCAGACTGATGTAGAAGCCGGTGATGGTGGGCACAAGAGCAAACATCATCAGAGCAATCCAGCGATACACAAAGTAAATTCCGGCAAAGAAGCGCAGGTTGTCTTTGAAGCAACCCTGAAATGAGTCCAGGAAAGGCTTGACCTTGCTGATGGGGATCATCCTTGACACTCTGACAACAGCTTTTTTGTCTGAGACCTTGCAGAAAGCCAGGAGCTTATTGGCTGAAGGATAGAGTAGGAGAAGGGCTGGTGGAGTTGCACTGATGGTCATAAGGCACAGAATAGCAGGGAGAGCATATGGTAGGTGTTCAATGCTGTACAGACGTGTGTCGCCATTGAAGAATACCTGCAAGGTTTCCTTCCGTCCGTATTTTCCCTTCACTGTGCCGTAAATAAGGATGTAAATGGAGACCTTTGTGGCTTGGGCGTAGCACAGTACAATGAAAGCTGACAACCCATGAATAACAGACGATTTGATCGCACTTATGCGAAGATGCCTTCTTGCAAACACTCCGCAATGATTAATGAAAACTAGTGTCACTAACACAAGAAGAAAAGCATAGACGATTGTAACGTAGCGAAATGCTAGGATATCGAGTACTGTAGCTCCCTCCCACAGGCAAAAGGACAGAGGCTCTATGCTGAAGAACTCCATCGTAAACACACCGTAGATGAGTTGGTAACCCCAGCTGAGTGTAGAGAGAACTGCAGGATATTGAGCTACACCACTTCCATTGACTATCACGGAGTCTAGCAGCTGGCTGAACAGAATAAAGCCATTGATGTTGCCAGATGTGAAACTGATGTTGAGGACAAGAACGGTTACAAACAGCAGAGTTACTGGAACAAGCTCCGAGAGAACGTAAAAGAGCCACCCCAAGTCACAGTATCGTGATTTGTGGCAACTATAACCCGGAGAATGGTAGAAGACACTGTAGCCAGGTTTGCAGCTACCACAGAGGATCCCCGTCCTCGTGGGTCCACAGATGTACTCGTCCAGATGACTAGGCGAAGAGTTCCTACTAAGCGGTACCTCTATCTCATACCCTGTACCATTGTAAGAGCAGAACGAGAGTGGACAAATACCGGTCACAAACTTATCTTCAATGTAGCCAGCCCAATACCCGACCTTTATGCTGGATTGAAAGTTCCTCAGATCACAACTAACAATGGCAGGGTAGGTTCTTGTATTGCATGTGCACTTGTTTCCCGTCAGCACGAAACCGGGCGGACAAGGCAGAAGTGTTACATTCATTGCAATGGAGTTCTTTCGAGAAGATATAGTCTCCAGCAGTAAAACTCCCGAACTCTCTGCATCTCCCATCATTTTAATGGTGTTGCCCGAAACACACGAGAAAGCATCGTCCACACTAACACTACTGTCACTGGTGTTAATCATTGATGCACGGAATACCGTCTCTATCTCCTGTCCGTTTTCATCAGTTGCTAGAATTCCCAGTTTGTGCTCTTCTCCAGGAATGATTTGGAACGGAAGAGTCTCTGTAGCATTAAAGGAGCTTCCCTCAGTAGCAATCTGGTTCTGAGTCCTCCCGTCATAGTGAAACACGCCAGACAACATGAAGAAACTCGTAATATTCTGTTCGTCGTCTACGGCTTCTGATCCCTCACAAGAGATGATCGAGGAAGAGAATATACTATGTCCGTAGGCTCCGGCAGTATTGTTGATGAAGTAGAAGGAAACATTCCACTTGGACAGAGGGACATTATCTGAGTGGTAGAGGAAACAGGTCTCCGAGACTGTAAAGTCGTGATTATCAATCAGGTAGTTGTAGATGGCACCACCACGATCAGTGGCGTGATTGTCGGTAAAGTTGTACGTTTTTCCCGGACCGACAATCAGGGAAGAGATCCCGGTGAGAGAGATTGCTCCACCTTGTACACCAGTATTCCCCACAAACTCTGCACTGCACTCTGCAAAGTTGGCTATGGCATTGACAATAACAAGAGCCGATCCGCTATTATTCTCAAAATGAACTGTTTCCACAAAGTCCACGTCAACGAGACTCGAAAACACTACACCCGACCCGAAAGCCTGAAGCAGGTCAAAGCGATGGAAAATGATGTGGTTTGTAAAGAATTGACACCCTCTGAAGACCACGGTAGGGAGAAATCCTTCTCGTGTCCTGCTCTCGGAATGTGGTGAGATGTCCACAGCTGCTCCTATGTGAGCCATGTTTCCTATCCATTTGCAGAACTCCAAGTGAATTTCATTAGACAGTGCCGATTTCATGTCATTGATTCTCGGCGTGAAAAATGTCGTCCCGCCACCTAAATCAGCACAGTTTTCCCTGAACATACCGTGCTCTACGTGAAAACTGTTGTTGGAAGATTCGAGCTCCTTTTCTTCGAATCCGTACCCAAGATGTGCCCCACCTCCGCTCCCTGCTCTATTTCCCTTCACACATCCGTTCCGTTCAAACGTGCAATGCTCAATAGCCACTCTATTGTGGTGGCTGTCTTCGTTTATTTGAACGGCTAGCCCGCCACCTAAATAGGCAGTATTGTTCTGAAAGGAACAGTGAGAGATAGCGATGGAGTTCCAATTGGCCCGCCACAGAAGGATGTCCACGCCGCCTCCCCGACCCGAACCCGTGTGTGGTCTGTTGAACACATTCAGGAACGTAAAGACGTAGGGAAACGTGGCCTGGTTGTGTTCAAATGTGCAGTGAAAGAGCTGAAGCTGGACCAAGCCTCCTCCAGTCTTATAGGTTTCTCTCACATACACACCAGCTCCACCGTAATACTTTGAAATAAATTCTGGTGGAACGCGATTTCGACTGAACTGAGAGTATGATATTGATATGGCCCCACCTTGAGGGTCGATAATTGCCAGTCCAGCTCCGTGATTTCTGGTGGCATTCATGTTAGTAATGGTAGTATCTTTGCACGAGTATAAGTGGATTGCTGCCATGTAGCTGATGGTAAATATTGTTATGTTATAATCCCTTACGACACCACATCTAGTGAAGTTGACACTTGAAATGGTCACATTGTCCAGTCCTACCAACACCAATCCTGGCTGGGTCCCCGATGAACCTGAGCAGGTTATCAAAGTGCCTCCACTGTCACTGCCCCTGAGGTGGAAGGCTGTGGAGTTCTCCAGAACAATTTGATGGCTGAGAGTCAGAGTCCTACTCAGTACTTGAACACTAACTGACTGGAGTGCAGTGTGGTTTAGAGCTGCCTCCAGAGTAGGACAGGGAGATGACCTGTTGCCACATGAATGGTCAGAATCAGGGGTGGCACCACTGTCAACATAAACTTCTTCTGCTAGCCCAGTCTGGATCAAGACTACGAAGAGTAAAAGTTCTATACCCAGCATTTTTGTTCTTTTCTCACTAAAGATGCTACTTACCACGCCGCGTGCTTTTATACTCTCAGAGCTGACTGATAATGAAACAGTACGTAAGGAAACAGAAAACGGAGAAAAAAAAAGTTACGTTACAACTATTCACACATGGATTATGAAAGTGAAATGCATGGGTTTCTGAAACACACATCCATTGTGCAGTAAAACACACATTCCGTATTTGTTTCCCAATGTTTACTTTAGCCAGTTAGGGGCTGCAACCGTGTGACGAAGCAGCTCCATTGTAACAAAAGTAACACTCATATGTATGCCAAGAGTTCCTCCCTTTCTCTGTAAGAGTAGGACGTTTCTACTGCTGCTGATTGATCCAACGATCCTACTGAAATCTCCTGGAAGGGGAGGTAGGAGTGATCAATCACTGCACCAGGAGAATTTTCCTGCCTTTCGGGCAAATTTTCTTCAGTTTCATTAGCCCCATCTTCCCTCCCCTTCTTGTATAGGCACGCAATCCACCTGACGGCATTTGCGACTACAGCCACGATGGGTAGGTACAAGAGTATAAGTCGAGCAACCACGGCAAACGTGACCACGTTTCTCTGGTCATCGTAGCCATCCTGTGAGTAAGCAAGCTGCGTAAGCACCCCGATCAGAGATATGTTCACCAAGATGAGTATGGTGTTAACGTTGTCAGTCGTACTGCGAAAAGGATGGCAAAGGGCGTACATGCCGAGCACAATGAGGATGGTTATTTCCATTCCAAGGACTGACTGGGAAGTGCTGGTGACAAAGGCATCGATACCGAGAATTGCTACACGTCCCAAAAAATAGACTCCGGAGAAGAATCTGAGTTTGTCTCGATAGCAGCCCTGAAAAGAATCAAAGAAGGGTTTGAGTTTGATGAAAAACCGAGAAGCGAATTGGACCGGATATGACTCACTCAGCTTACAAAACGAGAAAAGGGTCAGGTAACCCGGATACACCAACAGAAGCACCGGTGGGATAGCAACAATCGTAGACAGACAGAAGCAAGCTGCCAGTGCATAGACTAGATGCTCCGAGGAAAAGTACTTGACGCCTCCGTATAGCGTGACGCTGTGGACCGGTTCATTCCCAGCACCCCTCAGTGTTGTCTTTGTGAGAATCTGAAATGAAATGTTAGTGCACTGTGCATAGCACATGACCAAGACTGCCGACATACTATGTACGACAGACCTGTTTTTCCAGACTACAAACACTTTACTCTTTGTTTTCAGGCAGTTGTTGCAAGTGCAGTACTTTAGAAACAGGACTATGCACAGTAGCAAAACGAAAGCAAACAGTACTGATATGTACTTGAAAGCTATCACATCTTGCACCGTCGCATTTCGCAAGAGACAAAAAGAAGCTGATTCCAAGTTGAAGAAATTGAAATTGAACAGTCCGTATATCACTCTGTAAATGATACTTAAAACTTCTATAAGTTTCGATTGTTCCGAGTCCCACTTCATGCGAATCGTGACAGTGTCAATTATCTGAGCAAAGAACACTAGACCACTAGCAGTCCCAGTAGTAAACCGAATGTCGAAGACTGCAATAACAGAAAACATTGCAACGATCGGGAAAACTTCTGAAATGAAGTAGAACAGGACCCCCCATGCACAGTAACGCCGTGGCCTACACTGGTACGTGGGCGAGTGAAAGTACGTGGTGTGTTTATCCTCGCACTTTCCGCACAGCCAGCCAGCTCGGTTAGGACGACACACAGCTTTCTGGAGGTCTGCGCCCGACGATGTATTCGGTAGCATGATCCCATGCACTTCTCTGTCTAGTTTTATGATGCAGAAAGAAGATGGGCAGCGTGCGGTGAGAAGTTTCTCGTCATCGTCGTAGCCTGCCCAAAAGTTGTTACTCAAGAAGGCATTAATCTGCTGGTCGTGACAGGAATTGATTCCAAAATAGGCTTCCGTTTTCACGTAAGCAGAACAAGAACAGGCTTGGCTGGTGTCATCCATATAGAATCCCGGCGGACACTTTTCCAAAGTTATGTTTAATTTGAGTAGGGATTCGCGAAAGTTGACAGAAACCAGGGACAGGGTGCACTCTTCCTCACGTGTATTGATCGTGAAACTGTTAATTATGAATTGCCTGTCTGCAGGGCACGTGTCGTTTTGTATAACTCGGTAAACAGTTGGTGCTATATTGTTAAGCTCGTCCTTCATTGTGACGTTAATTTTAGCAACCCTGCCAGGAATCACCGATAGGTCTGTTTCGTTGGACTCAAATGCCTGCGGTGAGGTTGCCAACGCCACTGTGTCGTTATCAAAATGGAATAAAGCAATTTTCTGAAGAGCTTTCATGACACCATCTTCAGAGAAACGAACACGACCGAACTGCGAAAAATAGCATGGGAGGAAAGTGGTAGCGTATAGGGCATGCCCCGTTTGACTTTTATGGCCAACACGATTACCCCTGAAATAGAGAGTGGGTCTTTCCTTAGCGTCGCGGTACGTTTCACCTCCATTTTGAATGAAACACGTCCGGGAAGAGAAAAAGTCATGGTGGTTTTGAGTACTCTGGTAGATGGCACCACCGTCACCAGAAGCCGAGTTGTTGACGAATGATAACATCGTGTTGCGCAAGACTTGCAGCACTGACGATCCAAACAGAGCCAGTGCACCGCCCTGCGATCCTCTATTGTTTTCAAAAAACGCCCTCGTCCCAGGTAGGAAGGTCACGGTACCGTCTGTCACATGTAGAGGAGTAATTGAGTGGTTTTGGAAACGCACTGTTCCTTCGAAAAGGACCTCAAATGCGTTGACTGCAAAAGAGCCCACGTTAATCAGTAGGTTCTGGTTTCTCTGTTCGTGGGTGTGATTTGCAGTAAACACACAGTTGACAAACCGTGGGTGAGGATAGTAGATTCTTTCAAGGGTGTCGTATGAGTAAGGCGAAATGTCGACTGTGGATCCAAAAAATGCGGCAATGTTTCCCGCCCATCTACAGGATTCGAAAACCAGTGCACTGCCGTTGTCATCTGACTCCTCTGCACAGTTAGTGTGACTAGCATATATGGCAGTCCCTGCTCCATATTTCGCAATATTGTCTATGAATTCGCAGTCAGTTACGTACACAGTGTTAGTAATTGGCGGGTCAGATGCGCCCTCAATGAAACCAACATTTAAACCGCCGCCAGCTTTTGCAGCAGCATTACTTCTGAATGTCACTTGACTGAGTGAGACGTGGTTGTTTTGAGCATTTCCACCAAATTCAATCACCATTCCCCCTCCCCATGTTGCTGCGTTGTTTTCTATGCGTACATCTACAAGGGAGACCAGGTTTCCAGTACTGTCTTCTTCAATCTGCAGCTCAACTCCCCCTGCTAAACTATTGGAGTGAAAAGACAAGGCCCCTTCATTTTTGTTGTTTCGGAAATGACAGTGTGCTATAGTGTAGTTGCTTGCACTGCCAGCAGTCTCATGTCCACTCCCGTACGAAGACAGGAATCTTATCTTAAGGCCCGAGATGCTAGAGCAATCGTTACATGCAGTATTATTTTGGAAAACACAGTCGAGAATTTGAACAGCACCAAATGTATTTCTGACGTACA